GGGTGGGGGGGTAACCCAGAAGACCCGACAAAAATCCACGGGTCAGGGTCGGGATCGAACCCACAACCTCCTGTATACCAGGCGAGGTAGTTAACATCTCATAGCCACCGTGATGATGATGAGAGAGAGACACGCAAACTCCAAATATACAGCAGCAGACGTCAGGGTCGGGATCGAACCCACAACCTCCTGTACACCAGGCGAGGTAGTTAAGCCACCGTGGCAGGGGGAGGGGCGGGGGGGGGCGATGGTGGGGGGGGGGGTCATCTGGGCACCACCTGGAGTCACGGGGGGCAGGGCGAGCTGAATAAATCCAGATCCCAGATTCAACCCGGATCCCAGATTCAATCCAGATCCCAGATTCAATCCAAATACCAGATTCAATCCAGATCCCAGATTCAATCCAGATACCAGATTCAATCCAGATCCCAGATTCAATCCAGATCCCAGATTCAATCCAGATCCCAGATTCAATCCAGATCCCAGATTCAATCCAGAAACCAGATTCAATCCAGATCCCAGATTCAATCCAGATCCCAGATTCAATCCAGATCCCAGATTCAATCCAGATCCCAGATTCAATCCAAATACCAGATTCAATCCAGATCCCAGATTCAATCCAGATCCCAGATTCAATCCAGATCCCAGATTCAATCCAGATCCCAGATTCAATCCAGATCCCAGATTCAATCCGGATCCCAGATTCAACCCAGATCCCAGATTCAATCCAGATCCCAGATTCAATCCAGACCCCAGATTCAATCCAGATCCCAGATTCAATCCAGATCCCCGATTCAATCCAGATCCCAGATTCAATCCAGATCCCTGATTCATCCCAGATACCAGATTCAATCCAGATCCCAGATTCAACCCAGATCCCAGATTCATCCAGATCCCAGATTCAATCCGGATCCCAGATTCAATCCAGATCCCAGATTCAACCCAGATCCGAGATTCAACCCAGATCCCAGATTCAATCCAGATCCCAGATTCAATCCAGATCCCAGATGCAATCCAGATCCCAGATTCAACCCAGATACCAGATCAATCCAGATCCCAGATTCAACCCAGATCCCAGATTCAATCCAGATCCCCAGATTCAATCCGGATCCCAGATTCAATCCAGATACCAGATTCAACCCAGATCCCAGATTCAACCCAGATCCCAGATTCAATCCAGATCCCAGATTCAATCCAGATCCCAGATTCAACCCAGATACCAGATTCAATCCAGATCCCAGATTCAACCCAGATCCCAGATTCAATCCAGATCCCAGATTCAATCCGGATCCCAGATTCAATCCAGATACCAGATTCAACCCAGATCCCAGATTCAACCCAGATCCCAGATTCAATCCAGATCCCAGATTCAATCCAGATCCCAGATTCAATCCAGATACCAAATTCAACCCAGATACCAGATTCAACCCAGATCCCAGATTCAATCCAAATCCCAGATTCAACCCAGATCCCAGATTCAATCCGGATCCCAGATTCAATCCAGATACCAGATTCAACCCAGATCCCAGATTCAACCCAGATCCCAGATTCAATCCAGATCCCAGAATCAATCCAGTTCCCAGATTCAATCCAGATCCCAGATTCAATCCGGATCCCAGATTCAATCCAGATCCCAGATTCAATCCAGATCCCAGATTCAATCCAGATCCCAGATTCAACCCAGATACCAGATTCAACCCAGATCCCAGATTCAATCCAGATCCCAGATTCAATACAGATCCCAGATTCAACCCAGATCCCAGATTCAATCCGGATCCCAGATTCAATCCAGATACCAGATTCAACCCAGATCCCAGATTCAACCCGGATCCCAGATTCAATCCAGATCCCAGATTCAATCCAGATCCCAGATTCAATCCAGATACCAGATTCAACCCAGATACCAGATTCAACCCAGATATCAGATTCAATCCAGATCCCAGATTCAATCCAGATCCCAGATTCAACCCAGATCCCAGATTCAATCCGGATCCGAGATTCAATCCAGATACCAGATTCAACTCAGATCCCAGATTCAACCCGGATCCCAGATTCAATCCAGATCCCAGATTCAATCCAGATCCCAGATTCAATCCAGATACCAGATTCAACCCAGAAACCAGATTCAACCCAGATCCCAGATTCAATCCAGATACCAGATTCAACCCAGATCCCAGATTCAATCCAGATCCCAGATTCAATCCAGATCCCAGATTCAATCCAGATCCCAGATTCAACCCAGATCCCAGATTCAACCCAGATCCCAGATTCAATCCAGATCCCAGATTCAATCCAGATCCCAGATTCAACCCAGATCCCAGATTCAATCCGGATCCCAGATTCAATCCAGATCCCAGATTCAATCCAGATCCCAGATTCAATCCAGATCCCAGATTCAATCCAGATACCAGATTCAACCCAGATACCAGATTCAACCCAGATCCCAGATTCAATCCAGATCCCAGATTCAATCCAGATCCCAGATTCAACCCAGATCCCAGATTCAATCCGGATCCCAGATTCAATCCAGATACCAGATTCAACCCAGATCCCAGATTCAACCCGGATCCCAGATTCAATCCAGATCCCAGATTCAATCCAGATCCCAGATTCAATCCAGATACCAGATTCAACCCAGCTACCAGATTCAACCCAGATACCAGATTCAATCCAGATCCCAGATTCAATCCAGATCCCAGATTCAACCCAGATCCCAGATTCAATCCGGATCCCAGATTCAATCCAGATACCAGATTCAACCCAGATCCCAGATTCAACCCGGATCCCAGATTCAATCCAGATCCCAGATTCAATCCAGATCCCAGATTCAATCCAGATACCAGATTCAACCCAGATACCAGATTCAACCCAGATACCAGATTCAATCCAGATCCCAGATTCAATCCAGATCCCAGATTCAATCCAGATCCCAGATTCAATCCAGATCCCAGATTCAATCCAGATCCCAGATTCAATCCAGATCCCAGATTCAACCCAGATCCCAGATTCAACCCAGATCCCAGATTCAATCCAGATCCCAGATTCAACCCAGATCCCAGATTCAATCCGGATCCCAGATTCAACCCAGATACCAGATTCAATCCAGATCCCAGATTCAATCCAGATCCCAGATTCAACCCAGATCCCAGATTCAACCAGATCCAGATTCAATCCAGATCCCAGATTAAATCCAGATCCCAGATTCAATCCAGATCCCAGATTCATCCCAGATACCAGATTCAATCCAGATCCCAGATTCAACCCAGATCCAGATTAAATCAGATCCCAGATTCAATCCAGATCCCAGATTCATCCCAGATAACCAGATTCAATCCAGATCCCAGATTCACCCAGATCCAGATTCAATCCAGATCCCAGATTCAATCCGGATCCCAGATTCAATCCAGATACCAGATTCAACCCAGATCCGAGATTCAACCCAGATCCCAGATTCATCCAGATCCCAGATTCAATCCAGATCCCAGATTCAACCCAGATACCAGATTCAATCCAGATCCCAGATTCAACCCAGATCCCAGATTCAATTCAGATACCAGATTCAACCCAGATCCCAGATTCAACCCAGATCCCAGATTCAATCCTGATCCCAGATTCAATCCAGATCCCAGATTCAACCCAGATACCAGATTCAATCCAGATCCCAGATTCAACCCAGATCCCAGATTCAATCCAGATACCAGATTCAACCCAGATCCCAGATTCAACCCGGATCCCAGATTCAATCCAGATCCCAGATTCAATCCAGATCCCAGATTCAATCCAGATACCAGATTCAACCAGATACCAGATTCAACCCAGATATCAGATTCAATCCAGATCCCAGATTCAATCCAGATCCCAGATTCAACCCAGATCCCAGATTCAACCCAGATCCGAGATTCAACCCAGATACCAGATTCAGCTCAGATCCCAGATTCAACCCAGATCCCAGATTCAATCCAGATCCCAGATTCAATCCAGATCCCAGATTCAATCCAGATACCAGATTCAACCCAGAAACCAGATTCAACCCAGATCCCAGATTCAATCCAGATACCAGATTCAACCCAGATCCCAGATTCAATCCAGATCCCAGATTCAATCCAGATCCCAGATTCAATCCAGATCCAGATTCAACCCAGATCCCAGATTCAACCCAGATCCCACATTCAATCCAGATCCCAGATTCAATCCAGATCCCAGATTCAACCCAGATCCCAGATTCAATCCAGATCCCAGATTCAATCCAGATCCCAGATTCAATCCAGATCCCAGATTCAATCCAGATCCCAGATTCAATCCAGATACCAGATTCAACCCAGATACCAGATTCAACCCAGATCCAGATTCAATCCAGATCCCAGATTCAATCCAGATCCCAGATTCAACCCAGATCCCAGATTCAATCCGGATCCCAGATTCAATCCAGATACCAGATTCAACCCAGATCCCAGATTCAACCCGGATCCCAGATTCAATCCAGATCCCAGATTC